TACTCTGTTTTTGGTGGAAAAAAGTAGAAAACATCCCACTACATAAAACAAGTAAAAAAAATTCTACTCTCACCTATCACACACGTACCAAGACAACAAACAAATAATATATACTAAAAAAATATATTTTATTTATTTTTGTACAATTACTCTCAAATACTGTTTTCACTATCAATCAAGTTAATTTATTTTTCATCTCTTTTTTTCTTTTCAACTATTCTACTTACACTCTTTCCTTTTCCTCTCAATTATACTCTTTTCAATTCTTCTCAATTACTCCAATACTCACCAATCATACCCATAGAGAAATAAACGGTGAGATTCATATAGAACAATTTAAAAGACGGTTATGTTCATTGTAATTTGTGTATAACTATCGACGCAGAACATATTTTAACACGGTGAACCAAAATGGTGTAAGAAGCTAACAAATATTAAGTATAAACTAAATTTAAGCTAAACATTCATACACAGCATATATATATATATAACTCATGCTCATATTTTACATATAACTGTTTTTAAAAAATTTGATAACTAATTTTTCGTGATTACCAAGTGGTTGGTAGCCTAGTGGTGTTGAAAATAAATTCTCAAATTCAAGATCACTCGTTCAACTTTACTTGGAATGGATGATTTACGTTTTAAATACGGTATTATCAATGGTTGCACCCGTATATCCGGGGATATTACGGATCTTTGAGCATCCAAAATTTTTCCAAAAAAAAAAAAAAAATTTGTGACACATAGCAACGCATTTGTTCGCTCCTTGTCTCCTACAAACACCCACCACCCAATATTTCAAACTATTATTAGTCTGTTAACCCTATTTGCAATAGGTCCACCTTCTCGTTTATTTAAAACTAAACAAGCAACATTAATATCCAAGAAAAAGCAGGAGGGACAATTACAAAAATGTCACTTTTTGTATGTATATTTGCAAGAATGTTATTTAAAGGTGTCTATTTACAAAAATATCACTAATTATAGATTTATAAAATCTATATCTTAAAATTCTAAACCCTAAGAAATGTTTTGATACCTAAAACCCACTAAACACTCAAAACTAAACTCT